GCTCTATCCTGGCTGAAACCAGGACAATGGAGTAGAGCCTTGTGGATCTGCGGTGACCTAGTTGACTGCTCACTTAAAATCCGAACTTGAATTTGGCTTAGTTTTACTGATCCCTTGTTAAGCTTGAATTTCAACCCAGGCTTTGGGAGTCAGACTTTAATGGTGATGTTTAATCACAAAGTAGCTTTGCTAAAACCTAGCTAAATAATTGATGTTTGAAAGGGAAAAAAAGTGAAGAACGATAAATCTGCTTGTGCTTTTTATGATGTTCCCTAATCTTGACAAAATCGTATGAAACCCACCAATTCACAACAGCATTTCTTGTCACAGCAAAGGAACATAGAAGTTGGCAGTGAAATTCAAAGCGACAAACTATATAAAGAGTTGTCTCAGTGGTACTAGGGAAGAGATTTGACTCTTGATACAAAACAAAAGGGAAGTCTTTTTTTTCACATTAGCATGCACATTATCAAATGTTAGTAGGCTAGAGTTTAAGGACTTTAAGAAGTAGTTCATATTTGAACAGTAAAATGTCCTTTTTGGTATGTCTGAATTTATTGCAAGGTCAAAATCCAAATGACTTGTTGAATATCCCTCTCCCTTACTTTGAGCATTTGCAAGTAAAGAAAGTATATTCCAAATATTGGAAAATATTTACATGTTCTTAGTGTTATGGAGAACTACTCCACTTTCCTTCCTGAGGGCTGTGGTTCAAAGACTGAAACAAGGCAGGAGAAAAAAGCTTCAACTCTATGGATGATGCAGAAAGTCTCTGCTGCCTTGGCTAATGGATGGCTTAATTGTCCTGTGAATTCCTGCAGATGCCCACTGATGTAGGCAAGTTTGGCAAATGGACTTTTAAGATTCCCCGAGAAGTGGTCCTCCAATATCTTTATACCGAAAATTGCACATTTCATAAACAAGGTCAAGTGTTCTTGCAGCTTTAGTTTTGCTTATGAGTAACCTAAAATAATAATGATTTCATGAAAGAGGATTTCTTCCTTATTTCAGGTTGCTAGTATTGGAATCTACAGCTCCTTCAGGAGACATGTCCCGCTCGCACCACATTGCATCAGTTGTTCCAAACCGGTATCCTCACTGGTTCACCCTAAGTCACATCGAATCCCAGCAGTGTGAGCTGGCATCAACCATGCTGACAGCAGCCAAAGGTACATTGTTGTCAGTTACGTACTCAACTAAATGTATGTTTTTAATATTGCATGGAATAAACAGATTATAAAACTTGTGTTTAGTAATCCAAATTTCAGTCTGACAGGAGCTTGAAATAGGAACAACAAACTGAACTGACTTAAACCTGTCAATTTTCTAGCAAAGTGGTTAAACTAGCTAGACGGTAGCCAGATGGGCTTGATTTGAGGCTGATGAGACAGCTTTTTGTTCTTCTGACACACAATATAGACTATGAAACCCAGGAGTGGACAAATCACTTCTAAAATTCACAAGTCAGGATGACTTTTAGCCATGTACTACACTAACACCATCAGGCACTAGAGGAGTTTGTGCTGTTTTGTATCTTTCATTCATGTGATTTAATTATGGGAGGTTTATAAAAAACAAAATGTGTATAACTGAAACATTGTACTATTGTGTAGCAATGGCAGGCTCAATTATAATGTATCTCTGGATGTTTTGGGAGCTTGTTCTGTTTACACCTTGCAGGTGATGTTCGGAGGCTGGAAACAGTGTTAGAATCCATCCAGAAAAATATCCACTCCTCATCACACATCTTCAAACTTGCCCAGGATGCATTTAAAATAGCAACACTCATGGACAGCTTGCCAGACATCACTCTTCTGAAGGTTTCTCTGGAGTTGGGCCTTCAGGTATTTCCCTTGTTCATTATTACTACAGTAGAAGACAGGAATTTGACCCTGTGTTGGTGGGTACAGCTCTTTAAGTCACTGACGACCATACCCTCTTTGGGCTCTATCTGGAATTTTTAGATTCTGTTTTCTGATGTAAAGTGCAGTTGACTGGTAAACACAGAGCAAGGGTCTGCACAGCCCCTTTGTGCCATTTGCGTGGAAGAGAGAGCCAAGAGCAGCTGGCTGCAAGGCACTCCTCTGTTCAGGGGTGAAAGAGGACCAATGCAATGGGTTCAGGAGTATAGGTAGGGATGGCTACATAGCAAAATTATTCTGCTTGCCAGAAATGCACTTTTGCAGATCTTTTGCATGGCCTTGAGGGTTTTCTTGTCATTCCTCCCATCCTTCCCTTCCTTTCCCTCAAATGAGATTTGGTAGGTCCTTGTTGAATTACTAGAGAAAGCCAAGGTCAACCGTAATGACCTGTTTCTAAGGCAGATTGTGCTAACAGCAGCCCTCTCACTTCATCAAATCCTGCACTCCACAAGCTGTGGGATGGTCATCTGCATCAGACTCAGCTTGATGTGTACAAGAACCTCAGATTGGTTTTCAGGCTCTTAGGAGAGACTTTACAAGCTAAAAGGAGACAGCTAAGTTTTTAGGTATCTGGAGTAATATTGCCTTACACTGGTGAATCTTGGAGGTTACACAGTTCATTTCAACAAAAATAAATCTCTTCATCCCTCTTCAGGGAGTTCTTAAAAATGATGACAAAAAACAAACAGACAAAAACATGCAAAGATCAGAAACCCGTTTACTACTTTGCTTCAGTAAACAAAGCTCCAAAGACTTCTGGGGAAAGGATATTATCCCAGTTGCTTCTCATGCCAAAGAAAGGTACTATTTGCCTATTCTAGACTTTTAGAAGCTAAAGTCTTTAATCAGAAAGCTGAGATTGTGTGCTTTGTTAGCCTTTCTTATTCCCAAGGTTGCTGTGGAAATCTGCTTTTTTTTTCACATCTTGGTATGTTTCTGCCTTAAATGTTTGTTTACTTGAGAAAGATCCTTATGATTGATTGACTTGAATGTCACCTCAAGTATTCACCAAGTATCATTCAGTGGTAGCAGCACACTTTGGATATCACTGTGTTCATGGATACCCCTGTGTGGATGATGGTGTCATCAGAATGTCTTCAGTAAGATCTAGTGAAATAACTATCATGAACCTATACTTTCTCCTAAATCCGGTGTTTGGAATAAACTGGTGTAAGAACATGTCTGCTGTCTGCCCCGAGCTTACTAAGGTGGTTTAAGAATCTTAAAGGTAGTTTGCTTTTGTCATGGTTTAACCCCAGCCAGCAACTAAGCACCATGCAGCTGCTTGCTCACTCCCCCACGGTGGGACACTTTCTGGAAGGAAGATGCATAGCAGTTTTCTGGTAGTAACTCACAGCTATATAGATTTCTACAGAAATGTTTTTCCTGTGAAAGCCTTACAGTGTCAGTACTGTCTTCAGTGGCCTACAGATGCTTTCCCCTCTCCTGCCTTCCCCCAACCTAATGGCAATTAGATTGTCTGTGTTCGCTATCTAGTAACTGACTGCTTATATTTATGTGCCCTATAAAACTCTGTTTCTCCTGAAATACTGTTCTGCCTCTCAGCTACAACAATGACAAGTTGGACTGGTTGGGCTGAGGAGATGATACAAACAATTTCACAACTCTGTCACTGGGATTTCTGTGACAGAAAAGCCTCTTATATTTTTCTAGATTTGGGAGTAATGTATGGACTCCTGGGTTCTTTCTTCCTATTTCTAATGGCAGCATGTGTTATGTGACTCAGCAGAGGGAAGGCATTTAAACTAGCTGTGGAAAGCGTGGTCAAATGGGCATGTAGCATCTCAGCATCTCCGGTGTATTCTGTCCTTCAGAACCTTACTGGCACAGACGTAAGATCTGCAGGTACAGGAGGGCTTCTATTCCTTCATTTGCCTGTTGTATTGCTACATCAATGCAAGTATTACCACACAAATGTAGACAGGTACCGCTGACAGAACTGCTGAGCAAGTTAGTGCAGGTGATCACCTGATGCGTATTTGGCAAGAGGTGTCCTTTCCCCAAAAGCCTGTAAATAAATAAACCTCCTTCCAATGTACATGACAAAGAGGTTTCACATTGGTGCGTTGGTTCATTGTTGGAAGTAATGGTTGGCCATTTCTTGCATCTCTTATGGGTAGAGAGATCTGTTCCTCTAGAATAAGAAATTCTTATTAAAAATAAAAATTAATCAGGACGAAGCCAAGGTTGTTCTTTCTGGAAGAGAGAATCATAGAAACGTAGAATCATATAGAATCACAGAATCATAGAATCTTTGGGTTGGAAGGGACCTTTAAAGGTCATCTAGTCCAACCCCCCTGCAGTGAGCAGGGACATCATCAAATAGATCAGGTTGCTCAGAGCCTCATCCAACCTGACCTTGAATGTTTCCAGGGATGGGGCATCTACCACCTCTCTGGGAAACCTGTGCCAGCGTTTCACCACCCTCAGTGTGAAAAATTTCTTCCTTA